ATGGCGTCTCCTGACTAAGCTTCTTTCTCCCAGCATTCTCTTCTGTTTACTCCACCCACCTATGTTCTAACCAATAAAATGGGCCAAGACAGTTTCTTTATTATAATTAACCAATGTCCTTCCTCCATCACTGGCTGTGTAAACAGTGAGGGAAATAATGAGTCTATTACCCAACAGTCCTGGGAAACAATATATCTCCAAATGTTTAACCAACATAGTGTTGTAGGGATATTTGTGGAACTGGAAAGAAGAAGGAAATAGCACCAAACATTTCTTGTAGTATTTGAAACATTGAAGGATGTCCAAATTTCTACACTATTACCTGTACACATTTTCAGGCAATGTGTACTTTTAGATATAGAGGAATAAACAGCTTTGATTTTCTTGCAGCCCTTAAGGCTTAATGCAGTCTAATGTGGCCACGACAATGAACATACACAATGTCTGTAATCAGCTTTATATGAGTTCTGGGAACTGAATTGAGGACACTAGGCAACAAGGCAAAGCTCTTTGTAGATCAAGCCATCTCTCTGGCCCCATCCTTATTGAAGAAACAGCATCAGTGGAATTTCTAGTTGTCACATATTGAAATTATACATCCATGTCAGGGTTTACTCTAGAGTGTCCATTCTACGAGTGTGACAAGTCCATGGTGAGATGTGTCCACCATTAGGATATTATACAGAAGCTTTTACTCCTTTAAGAATCTCCAGTGCTTAAGTTGTGCATTCCACCAGATAAAAGCCAGTGGCCATTGGTTGTCTGCATAGCTTTTCCTTTTTCTCACACCGTGTGGTTGTAATCATACGCTATGTTCCCTCTCCATGTGCACTTTGTGAGTGCATTTAAGTTGTTCCTGTAATGATTCTTAGTTGACAATTTGTTTAATCACATTTTGTTTTGTATTATTCCATTGTCTGGATGTTCCGGAGCTTGGTGATTCACATACTGAAGGGCATTTTCGTTGACTCCATCTTGGCAACGATAATATGTCTGTGCAGTGTGAACTTAGGCTTACAGTTCGTCAAATAACAAGAAGTGTCATTCTTATATTTCACAGTCCTTTGTACTATACTGAATCTGGTGAAGCACTGGCAAATTCTCTTGCCGTGGTTGCACCAAACGGTATTTGTTCCAAGAGTGAAGGAAAGTTCCTCTTGCTCCACCTCCTCTCCAGAATTTATTGTTCTCAGAGGCATGGATCTCAATGCTTTAATAGATGTGTGTACTATGTTCCTTTGTAATCACTTAAAAAAATAACATTTTGAGAATATTTGCATTCACTTATTTGAGGCATGTTTATAGTCTCAGATTAAATGTCTGCTCAGGTCTTTTGCTTGTCATTTGGTTAGTTTTTTGTTGATTATTACTGAATGTTAAGCATTATTTGTAGGCTACAGACATGGCTCAGTGTGGTTAAAAACACCTCCTGCTCTTCCAGGGGACTAGAGTTCTATTCCCAGCACCCACGTGACAGAGGACAGAGGACTTTAATGTTCGTTCCAGATGATTTGGTGCCCTCTTGTGGCTGCCATTGTCAACTGCAGGAATGAGGTGCAATCTATACTCCCACACAAAACACTCATACACGTAAAACACAATTTCTAAACAAAGAATCATTTGTAAAACTGTGATACTAGTCTTGCCTCTAACAGAAGTCTTGGAAATATATTTTTCCTGTCTTTGTTCCTTAACAGTCCTTTGCCAGAGCAGAAAATTTTCATTTTTAGAAGCCCAACTTACTAGAAACACTTTCTTTCTCTAAATTGCTTTTGGTAAACTTGTTTTATCCCAGCAACAGGAATAAAATTAGAAACTGGAAAACCTGTATATGTACGTTACTATCAAAGTAGTACATGCATAAGTCTTTGAGAGCCATTAATCACTGAGATTGAATTCTTGCTAAAAAGAAAATTTGACTATCATTAAATAGAAACAAATAACAGTTATCTTACACAGTTACATTCATTTACTTTTTATTTTATGGCATTTTTTGTGGAAAGGGGAAAAACTTGCTGTATTTTGGTTATTGTTCCTGGAACACTTCTCTGTCTTCGGAATGTTTTAAAATAAACAGATGTAGTTTCAGGTCTATGAGATGAATATCACTTACTCATAATTAAACTCAGCTTTGCTCTCGAGACTCATACATACCAGTTAAACTGACCTCACCTTGATCTTCCCAATTTAGTAATGCCATTTTATGTTGCTCTTGAAAACAGAAGCCAAAAAGCAGCAATTTCAATTTTTTCTTGCTTTTGTCCTCCTCATTATTATTATTATCGTCATTATCATATAATAATAATTGCATGTTATTATCATTATTAAAATTATTATTTTGTTACAGACTCCTCTTAGGTGGGGCACTGTTGGTCCTGTGCTCTTTCTCGGTTTCTGGTCTACAGTTAAGTTCATTTTCCTTCTGCCTTTTTCATTGTTACAGTCAAAGTCCAGATTAACTCATGAGAAATAAAGCTTACTTTTCAGCAAGTCTCATATTTGCAGATAAAATATGCTTACGGTTTCAATCTACTCTATGGACTGTTGATTTATAAGATTGTATTTTGGAGACCAAATAATGACAAACTTATTTTCGTTGTACTTCTTTCTTTTTTTTTTCTACATTACTTGAAGCAGTGAAGTTGACCTTTATGTTGTGACTTTTATTAGAGAAAACGAAATAAGTAAGAAAAAAAATAATATGGACATTTCTGTAAATGCCTTTTTGAAATCTCATTGTGCTTGCTTCTGTGATGAAAGGTAGTGTTAGTCTGAGACACCGGCAGGGGACAGAGTGCTTCTGGGTGACAGATCAGTTCCATTTAGCCCAGGTCTGGTTCTTTTCCAGCATCACAGAAATCACCCTTTGCATTCTGGGATGGCCATAACTAATCGATGGGAACTGCCAGTAATTCAGCAATTTCCCAGTCTTAAAAGAATGACTCTGGAGTCTCAGATCAGCTTCCCTGAGTGTCAGTTTTCAAAACACTAGATGTTCTTTGTTTATAACAGCCCTCTTTGAGTCCTTGAAATAACATTTTTTTTGTTTTGTTTTGTTTTTCGAGACAGGGTTTCTCTGTGTAGCTTTGTTGCCTGTCCTGGAACTCGCTCTGTAGACCAGACTAGCGTTGAACTCACAGAAATCCACCTGCCTCTGCCTCCTGAGTGCTGGGATTAAAGGCTTGCGCCACCATCATCCGGATAAATAGCATTTTTAAATCATCAACTTCCTGAGAGGAGATGAACCTGCAGTTGAAAACTAAACCAGCAGAATCCGTAACTACCTTCTAAGTATTTGTCCCTTCTAAGTACAAATACCTTCTAAGTATTTGTCCTTAGGCCCTCAGACAAATATAACCTTAACTTCTCATCAATGGAACTCAGAGGGAAAACACAACTGATTAAAGTAAAGAGGGGAGCTCGGTCCCAATGGATACATTTACAAGTTAATCCCTGCACATAACCCCCAGGGAACATTGCAGAGGAACGGGCAGAAAGACGGTAGGAAGCAGAGGACCAGGGAGTTTTCTCTGAGATTGTGTCTCCTAGTAATATCAGAGGTATACCCAAAACATCTCACCAACTGGATGGCCCAAATGTGAGCTGTACGAGGACAACAACAGACATGCCAAAGTACATGGGGGTGGGGGAGAAAACCCATGAGGCCTCAACAAGGAATGATGGGACAGTACGGAATGCTGAGAGAGGGAGAAGTAGTCTTCTCAAGGAAGAGCACATAAATTGATTAATCCACACTAAATGGTTCATCCCTGAAAACATGCATACAAATAACATTATACAGACTGAGATGGTTATATTTAGGAATATGTGTGTGTTGTGTGTGCATGTGCCCATGTGTATCAGTCACAATATATATGTATATATGTCACAGTATATATATATATATATATATATATATATATATATATATATATATGATTTATCAACATATACAAAAATAGCTATAACAAAAAACCTCAGTATCCCATAACATCATATTAACCTTTTTGTCCTCTCTGTTCTGTTTTTGTGTATGCTGATAAATTTTTAATTTTCTTGCATGGGGGTTCATGTGATCAAGATTGAAGCTAAATCATTAGTTATGAAATTCTTTTTAATTTATTATAAATATCATATGTCTGTTGATGAATGGCTTTTATCCCAAAACTTGGGAAGCTGAATCAAAAGAATGGAGAATTCAGGGCCACCCAGGGCTGAATGGGTGAGGTCCTATTTCAAAAAACAAAAATCCAGCAACAACAGAAACAAAAACAAGAACCCAAAAAAATCATTGTTTTTAATTGTTGATATTACATATATTTCCTCATATTGTCACCTCACTTTCCCTTGAGAATATTAATAACAGAAGAAATGGTTTTCAGATCCTGATAATAACTCTCTGTTGTCTTTTGACACTCTAACCCTGTCAGAGTAGACAATTCTCTCTCCTGTGTGTGTGTGTGTGCATGTGTGTTTGTCTGTCCATGAGCATGAGCAGGACAGAACATGTTATTGGATACATTCTTTTTATAATTGTTCACCTTATTTGGGGGGGAGAGAGACAGAGATTCTCTCATTGAGTGTGCATCTCACTGATTTGTTTGTTTGTCTAGACTGGCTTCCTAGAAATCCTTGTCCTTGTCCCCAACCATAGTGCTGTGGTTGCGTATATAGCCATAGTGCCCAGATACCCTGAGATGAAGTGGGTCTTCATGAGCCCAACTCAGACCCTCCTGAGGTACAGCAGAACTTCACCAGCAGAGCCATCCTCCGCATACCTTAAACCTCTATGTTTAAAAAACCAATTTTACATTTCATGGCTGTTACTATTAATAAGTAAAGAAGTGGAATTTAAAAACCCCTGTAACCTAACCTCATAATTACTTCTCAGTACCCACAGTACATAGTTGTCTGAAGTAAAAAGTTAAGAATCCTGCAGTCTGCTACATTTGTGTGACTAAAACCCACACATACAAGTAACCCGCTCTGTTTGATTACAGAAAGCCACATTCTGGAGGACGTCAACAAATGCATTATCGCCTTGAGGGACCAGGATGCTGATAACTTAGACCGAGCTGCAGGTGCCATCAGAGGACGGGCTGCAAGAGTAGCTCACATCGTCACAGGGGAAATGGACAGCTACGAACCAGGTGCTTACACCGAAGGCGTGATGAGAAATGTCCACGTCCTTACAAGCACGGGTGAGTCTCTGTCCCCCAGGACAGCTACATGGCTCCTCACGTGTGAATCTGTGTAGCAACCCAATACCCACACAGAGGATGATGAACGGTCTCTGTCTGGGTCTCTTGATTACACACATAACACATCACTATACCATCTAATTGGTACATGGTGTCCTGTCGTTATGCGATTTGAAACTTACCCCAGTGGGGGGAAAATTATATATTCATTGAGAAAAAAATGTATTTTTAAATGCATGCATTACTCCCAGACCTAAGCCTCTTGTGAGTGTTTATTAATGTTAGAGATGTTTGGAGTTATAATTAGGCCAGCATGGGGTTAAGCATGCAATCGTTTCTAGGCTTTCATTTGGCTATATTATTGGTACCCCTGGGTTTCTTATTATTTAACCATAGCGGGTTTTTCCTATGTATCCAGAGACATGCTGGCTACTCTTACCTTGCAATTCTATGGAAAATAGCTTTCTATTCTTGTCCAAATTCTTCTTTCATTGTTTAAGGAATGTATAATACATGACTGCGTTGGTTGCAGTACTCAAGTTACTATTTTCTAAAATCGGGCAGAGAACGCTTTGAGCCACTCAGTATAATGGTATTTTTTCTTTCAAATACTATTGTTAACATTGCTCCAAGAGACCCATGGAAATGTCAGCATCCACATAGATTTCTGAGCAAAGATGGCAGTCAACAATTTTGATAAATCATTATGGCAGAGCTCCTTCCTATGAACCCCTTTTGTGTAAATATATATGTGTGTGTGTGTGTACATATATATATTCAATTGCCTCTTGACAATAGAGTGATGGTGTTTCTGAGAATCCTGCAGATTCCATAATAAATCATCCTTTCTTAAGAGATATGTAGGGCATGTTAACTTTGAAATGTTTTCATATTATTTGTGAAAAGAGAGGAATGGGCAAAACCTTAATTATTTTTTCTTTTTTGTTCATGTGTATGTGTGCCTCCCCCGCCTCCTCTGCCCAAGAAAAAACCAGAAGAGGGCATTAGATCCCTTTTGAAGACATTGTAATGTTGAGAATTGAACTTAGGTCCTCTGCAAGAACAGCCAATGCTCTTAACTGTTGAACCATCTCTCCATCCCTGATGGATAATCTTTTTTTTAAAAAACAAAACAAAACAAAACAATAGCAGCAACAATAGAAAAACAGTTCTTTCATTTTAAATTTTGAGACTCTTTCTGGAGGTGATTTAAGGGAAATATATCCATCATTGATAACTTTCTTATTATCTCTTTAAACATTTCTAAAATAATGAGATGTTCTGAGGAAAAGCAGTAATGGCACGCATATAGTCCTTGTCATTAAACTGATATTCCACACCCACTCCTCAAAGATATTAGTGTAACAAATCAACACATAGTCAGTTATGGTGGTACATTCTTGCAATCCCAGCTCTCAAACTAGGCAGGCATGGCTCCTGAGGCAGAGTATTATCATGAATCCAAGACCAACCTGTGCTGTAGTTTGAGACCCTGCTTCAAAACAAACAAAAAGCACTGAGAACATATCAGTTCCTCTTTCCATTGTGTGGAAATATGTGTACTTGCTTTGGGAGTTGGTTGTGTTACAGTCATTTAATATCACGTTCTATTCCAGGATCATGTGATCTTTTATTGGTTCAAACCAATTCCTTGCTGTCTGTGTCCATGTTATGGGAGTAAGTGTTTATTCTAAGGCTTTTGGAGTAACCATGGTCCAGGAACATAGGTTTAGCTCACCCCAAATACCATGCTCCAATGTGAAATCAGTTTCATGAAGTTTTATAGTTTTTGTAGAACAAACAATGTCATAAATCAAGGCAAGTTTAGAATACGTTGGCGGGTTCATCAGAAAAAGGCAGTTACAGAAAAATGGGGGAAGCTTTCCTATAGGCCCAAGATACTATCTGATAAAATTCTTAGCTTTGGAGATGGTGGAAGCTAGAACTTAGTAAATAATGAGCTCTATTTTCTACCTTCCAAAAATGACATTTTTAATTATAAGGGAAAATACATGAAGCGTTTTCTCTTTATCCATGTGAAAATTTCCTGTGGGGTGGAGTAGCTAAAGTCAACCAGGGATGCTGAACCTTGCTTGTATCTCAGTTTTATGACTGTATTAGGTGAGCCTCACCTGCAGACTCTGTGGCCATAACATCTATATGAGGTGCCAAGTCTGCAGTTTTGTACTCCATAGGCATAGAACACATATGCCAGATCCACGGGGTGAAGTGGGAGTGAATTCCTACAGTGTTCAAAACCCTTGGCAGTCATTCTACATCAGAAGAAGTAGCAAAATTATTCAGACATTGAAATACACTCTTGTTGATGCATCTCTGATTATTAATGACTGTACCAAATAGCCAACCAACAGGGCAAAAATTTCACAGTCAAAGCAACTAACAAAACCCCAAACCCTTTCCTCTATTTATTTCTAAGATAACGTTAATGAAAATATCTCTTTCAAATTATGCCTTACATCCCAAATGTGAGATGTATAGACTATTTCTGGGCTATTCTGTAAAAAGCGACTCTTATTATTAAATACACAATTAGTCATTTTGCTCTTTCAGACAAGCTTTAGGTGTATCCTTGAAGTATGCTTCTGTTGTCTTCTTTGCAAAAATAAGTCCCCCTTAAACTTTTCTCCAAAGAGCCTTCCTTTAAATTTATCAAAAGCAGGCCTCACAAAAGGGAAATCAGAGCAATGAATTAAATGAAAAGCCTAATTAGATCAGTTTGATTGGAACCAAAGCTGAAGACTGTGTGCTTTCTCTCTCCCATGGAGAGATTGTCTGTGAAAAGTATTTCCAACTCCTCTGTCCTCCACCATTGACTGATGGAGAAATGGTCATCATTGTTCACCCTTGGGTCATATCTTGGGCTTAGCTTTAAAACACTTATCAAATTACATAATTGGAAATGTGATGTTTTGTGTCGTGAAGACTTAGTCGCTCACATTTTAGCAAAAGAATATTAATGTGGCCTATTTTTCTCTTTGTTTCATTTTTCTTTTAGTTAGTTCTCAGGGTTTAGCCTGGCTATCTCAAAATAACTTAATGGAGATCCCCTGTGAACTGTTTTTTTTTTTTTTATTCCCGAGAACCCCTAGTGTTTAGGAAATTTGCCTGAAGTATCGTCATGAATGATGAAGCCTATGCTGTCCTGTCCCAGTCCCCAAGAGAGTTCATGGCACATGGTGTCCTGTTTTTGATCATACTTTGTGACTTATTAACAGATTTTCTGACCTTCTAAGTTCTTCTTCTCATGAGGATATGTGGTTTCCCTGCTGCAGTTCAGAAATTTGCATTCTCCGCACCTGCTAGCTCTAAGTGAAATGCAGTCCTAATGAAGAACTACTTTGCCGACAGTCACAGCATTATAATTTTCATTATAGATTATACCTGTAATCTCACAGTATAATAGTCCCCAGTTATACCCAAACTCTGACTTCCTTCACCTGTTGGGAATCCCTTCACCTGCTGGGAGTGCATGGGATTAGTTTGTTGTTGCTGTTTGAGACAGGGTCTCTCCATGTAGTTCTGGCTGCCAGAGAACTTGATGTGTAGACCAGGCTGGCTTTGAACTCACAGGGATCCCCTGCCTCTGCCTTCCGATTGCTGGGATTAAAGACATGAGCTACCAGTTCTGGCCTGGATTTGTTTTTTTTTTTTTTCTTTTTTATTTTTTATTACTGACCTGAAAGACTGCAGCATAAAGGCTAGAAGTTATACTCTTAATACCAACTTTAGTTCTTCCCTACGATTTTAGGGAGAGGCCAACTGCAGGAGTGAACTGGGAGAGTATATTTTCCTGTGGCTATTGGCGGTATCAAAGTCAGGAATCAGCAGGTCCAAAAGCATCTGTTGTTGCAGACCATCCAACACTACCTAGTTTCACTGTCAGCCAGAAATAGAGATAAACACAGAGAAGACACATAAATGACCCTGAACGAGACATCCTGATTGCCCCTGCTGTTGGAAACTGGTATTTATTGAAAATAATAGTTCATTTATTCAGTGACTGATGAGCCAGACTGCAGATACAGCCCCCGAGGGTAGAGTCTGTGCCTATCAAGTGCAAATCCCTGGGTTCAGTCTCAGCACCATGTAAACAAGGCATGCTGGTGCACACCTGTAATCTCAACAGCTGGAAGGTGGAGGCTGGAGACCAACAGGGTTAGAAGCCTACAGTAACTTCTAACCCATGCCCATGAGACTCCATAAAAATTAAAACAAAAATAAAAGAAGGGGAGGAAAAATGCTTGCCTGGGAGCCCTTCCTTCTTAGAGCCCCAGGGAATTAGACTATTATATAGACACCCAAAAGCAACTGAGACACTGAAGAGGCTATTTGAGGCCATTTGTGAGAAAGTCTGTTGTGTTTCTTCTCCATACCAATTTAAGTCACAGATATAATTGATTAAACTGACTATTAATTTAATAGAATGGACTGTATTTGTAAGCTAGACTCAAACAGTCTGCATTCTGTATGGTGCATTCTTTGCCCAATAATCCCAATAAGCAATTACACAAAAATGCCAAAGGATTTGGTCCAAGGGTCCTGGCTCTCTGCAGCATTTGAAAATTAATATTCTACACTCTAGGTGTGACTGAAAGAAATTTCCTCTGCTCAGTAGAGTGAAGCAACATAATTTTCACCGCAGAGACGGGTGGAGCTTCTTGGTGTCTTCTCCTTTGTTGTTCTTAAACCACTGTCCCTAACCATGTCACATTTGCCTTCATTTCCTCATACCATTGGTCTGCTCTGTTTAATTCATTTTGTTCAGATTTACTCAGTGTATTTTCTATGACTTATTACCAGAGACACACCCTGCATGATCTCTCTTGATCTTACCTTCCCAGTCGTTTGGATGCACTAACGCTGTTTCCATCTTTAGGTCTGGCCCATGTCCTTCCTCTCATTTTAGATTATCCCTACCTCTTTTTGACATGTCAAATTATATTCATCTTTCAAGAAACTGCTTGTAGTCTGAGCTTCTA